GTTGGAAAGTTGGATCTGCCAGGGTGTCAAGATAGGGTAAAAGATGGGGTTCTAGAACTTCGTGGATATAACGCTGCGCGTTCATGTTACCTCTGATGAAGATTAAAGGTGACCTGGAACCATAAGCTATAGCACCCCAAATCATAACTCCAACAGTGTGATGAACATGTCTTTCAACAAAAAACTGTGGATTCCTCCTTTCACCACGTCGCCTTCTAACCCTGGCACGACCAACGTGCATGTCTAAACAAAATCGAGACTCGTCACTAAAGACAATACTGTTCCATTCCTGATCCCAGAGTGACCGTTGTCTGCACCACTCAAGGCGATTACGTCGGTGTTCTCGAGTTAAAGGGAGGACCCAGTGTGGCCGGTATGAAAACAAGCCAAAACTTCTCATTCGTCGGTAAACACTTCGCATGCCAATAGGTCTTCCGTGTTCTGCAAACCATTCATTTGCAATGGACCTGGTAGTGGAGAAACGGTCCCTTAAGTCCAATAATCTTAGGCGGCGATCTTCACGGTCTGTTGTTCTACGGCGGCGTCCAGTGCCCCTTGCTCTTTGCGTACGGCCTTCTCGAAGCCATGCCTGACAACACCTAACCACAGTGTCTACACTTCTTTGCACTCTAACTGCAATTGCCCGAAAAGAAAGTCCAGCTTCCCGAAGTCCCACTATATGGCCCCTATCAAACGCACTAAGTTGACGAAATCGTACAGGTCTCCGTACTCTAGGCATCGTAACCGATCGTAAAGGATGCCAAGAACCAAAATCCGCCAACGTTGATTCTTTACTGCGGCTGAAATATTCATTTTTAGAGCGTTGGTGAATTAAAAAAAAGCAGTATAAAAACCGGAATGTCCAACTGATAAGGCTAACAAGTTTTTCACTTGTTATTTACAGTAAGATAAATATATTCACCAACTTTTATTAAAATAAAACCATTTAAACTGGGTGTTCGGATTTATATGTCACTTAGTATATATGGTCACTTTTACTTTTACCGCTAATCTTATAATCGCCTGTAACTTCAGAAGTGCCACGTTTATTTTGATGAAATTTCCACACAATGTTAAGGCTATGCCAATGACCAAAAAGCCTTCTTAATTTTTTGGAAATCGGTCAAAGTCTCTTGAACCCCATTTTAATGTTTTACAGGATCCTGATCATATTTGAAATAAATTTCAGGGGTAAAAAATTTTTGGGTGGGGGTTGTATGAGGGTGGGGAGGGTATATCTAAATTTTTTATGTAAGTATATTTATTCACTCCCAACCTTGGTAATTCTTTGCACCTACACTTCATAGATTTCTCTCTAGAAAAATAATGCCAGCAGACGGATTTTCGACCTACCGTCTATCAGGTGCGCCTCCATACCGCCGGCTTTGATAGGGATTTTAGTATTACACGTATAACTATATTAAAGAAATAAGCGGTGTTTCTTAGTAGCATATACAGGGTGGCGCATCGAAAATGAAACAGACGCATTTGCTGGCAGCTCAGTTTTTTTTAAAACGCTCAAATCCGTCGATTTTGTTTTCGACGCATTTACAAAACTACTGAACTGAAGCTCTTGTAAGTTACATCATTATAAAGGGAATTGAAAGACCTTTAAAATAAGGTATCACTTGACCCCCCTTTCCATTTAAGATTTTGTGGGTGGTGTCACCCCCGCTTAGGGGGCTGCACGTGCTAACGTGATTTTTTGCCAAATTTGTGTCCCCCTCGAAAACAAAATCGACGGGTCTGAGCGCTTTTCAAAAAAAAATCTGAACTGCCAGTAAATGCGTCTGTTTCGTTTTCGATGCGCCACCCTGTATACCAAAGTCTTAGCATAACCGAGATATTAGGGTCCGCCAAATCAATTGGACCTAAACGAGACACTCTTTTAGGCAACCCAGGAGCCAGCAGCATAGGTAAACAAAACATTTATTTACCAATCAGTTCGATAAATACCAAAATGGCACACTCGTGCTGCAATACCGAACTTGTCGATATGTCGATTCTAATTTATGGTGAGTGTCTTCAAAATACTACCGAGGCTTCGCGAGTGTATGCAGATCGCTCTTCAACGCGTTCGAGGCCGAATATACAGGGTGTCCGCAAAGTTGGGGTTTTCCTTTTCAGAAACAACTACCCTTGAAATAACAAAGGTAATGTGTAGTGAAACGAGGGCTACCAAGTAAAAAAAATAAAGGAAAAAGTACTCACTCTCCAGTTGACGAGAAGGGCTAAGTACGTCTCTGCCCGAAATCATACCGCTCCAACAGAAAATGAAATCAGCTGATGCGCTACCGAGCAGACGCAGGCGGTGGTGCAGACCACGAACAGAAGTAACAAATATGACGGCGTTGCCGCGTTTTCAGTTTTTAGGTAAACGTACTTTATAGGTATTGTTCGAAGTTATCGCCGTTTGATTCAAAAACACAGGTGCGTGCACGACGTAGCCAAGCATCGGTGCAGGGAATGGAGTCCCTCCCCCGAATGAAAGCACCAGCTTGTTCAATTCTGAGAAGAAGTTCGTCCGATCCACCTATTCGGAAATAATTCATTCAAAAACTCAAGCACTTCGCGTCTAAAATGGGGCGGTGCACCATCGTGCAGAAACCACATTGATTGTCTTACACTTAATGGCACATCTTCTAACAAGGAAGGTAAAATGTTGCGTAAAAAGTCTAGGTATTGCATCCCGTCCAATCGATTTGGGAGAATAAATGGTCCAATGAGCATACCGTTCACCATGCCAGCCCAAACATTCACCGAAAATGTTTGTTGAAAATGTGCCCGACGGACAGCGTGCGAATTTTCTACTGACCAAACATGAGTGTTGCGAAAGTTATTCACCCCATTACGCGTGAACGTAGATTCGTCTGTCACCAAAATGCACTTCAAAAAGTCCGGATTATTGTCATGTTGATGCAACAACCACTCACAAAACCGCACTCTTGCTGGAAAATTGTCAGGTTGAAGGGCTTGTACACGTTGGACGTGAAACGGATACAACCCCTCTTCACGCAGCGTTTGCCAAACTTTAGTTTTTGATACTTGCACTTCTCTAGCCACGTCTCTAGTGCTTATTGAGGGATTCTCGTCTACGCGATTACCTCTACACGCGTGACCGTAACCGTCGGTTGAAGGTTGCATACTGACCTGACACACTGACCTCGACCCAGTTCTGTCGTCGGGTTGAGCTAGTGTTCTAGTACCAGTCGGGGATGTCGCGGCTACAGGACGGTATTCAGATATTTTTGATGTTGCAGAGCCCTTTATCTCGGTTCCCTTAAGACATTGGTGTATATGGTACTAAGAAAAATTGCTTATGTTTTCAAGATCTACACGTCTTGTAAAGGAAAACCCCAACTTTGCGGACACCTTGTATTTGTTCACCTTTTGCAAAGTGCTAAGGATACTGCTCTTTTGCAGGAATATCAAGGTGAGTACTGTGGGAGACCTAGATAGCCCCAAATGGTGCAAGCTGAGGGAGGATTATTGAATGTTATAGAAAAAATCCTGCAACAAGCACTAGGGAAGTCGCTAGACAAATGCAAGTATCCAAATGTAGCAAATGCTGCTTGTACATGCTGAAAATTTTTCTGCAAGCGTGCGTTTTTGTAAGTGGTTATTGCACCAACATGGAAATAATTCGGAGTCAAAGTTGAAGTCCATATTAGTCACGGATGAAACAACCGTGAATAACTTCCGAAATACTAATGTCTGGATTTTGGAAAATCCTCGCGTACTGCGTTGGTTACATTTTCAACAAATACGAGTATCTTCTTTGAATGCTTACGCTGGACATGGACTTTTTATTATTTCAAATCGGCTGGTCGGCTTAAAACACAGTCTTTCTACGAAAGATTTCACCAACATCGACAACTTCAAGCATTACTCATAAGTGACAGAGCTACACTTGAAATTTCTCTGCAAATGAACCGTGAGTACTTTTTCATTTATTTTATTTTTTACCTTTTCGATACTGTATCATCGCACATTAGCTTTTTTATTTCAAGCGTAGATGTTTCTGAAAAGGATCGCCCCAATTTTGACGACACCCTGTATATCGGTATATGAAACATCGTTCTGTATCCTAAATTAACTGGACATTTGGGAGTTGAGCAGAAACGATATTGCGGAATCACAACTACTTACTCCGGATGACTGGGGGTGCAGTGTAGTAGGGTTCTTGCTATATGCAGCCCTAAATAAATTATGACGCATGTAGCGACTAATAAATGAGACCTAAGCCGGCTTGTCGGCGATTTGACTTTCAATTAACTTGTCAAACGACGCTCTGAGCAATTCTGAGCTGGATAATGTATGTTGTAGGAGTATGTAGATTGTTTAGGACAACAATGGGGACGGAGCTATTAAATTTTGCTAAGCCTATTAACCAAGTACTATTTTGTATTTAACTCGATAATTTGGACATTATCAAACCACCAAAAGCTCATATCAGTAACCATCTAGCGCTCAGTTTTGAAGCGGTTAAAATTTAATTTCAGAGATATAGTTTTGGCCAAACTTTTTTCAATCCAAAAATATTGCTCTGAAAGACTACAGATTTATTGAACAATTACAGTATGCGCAGCTGTTACTTTTTTTTTGATAACGTTATCGTCATTTTTTACAAGTTCCTTGACACTGGAAACGCCAGTAGCAATGAAATACCACTTGAAATAGTGATAATTTTTGGTGATAGTAAAACAAATCTTACTAACAGTATAAAGCAGATTTATAACGGCATTTGAATAATTCTTAACCCTATATCTGGTGCTGTAGCCTGTAGCTCATCTTTAAACCTCAATTTCTCGTCCTCGCTGCCCTAACGGTCTGATTGGGCAGTGTTGCGCGTGAGCTACATTATTCATTAACGGAAATAATATTACGAGCGACCTCTGGTTATAAAAAGTTGAGTCAAAATTTTCAATATGGTTGCCGCGTAACAGGTGTTTGGTGCACGTAAGAATCTGTAGTTGGGATTTTAGTTGCAAATGGTAAGTAATCATTTGTTTTTATGTTCTATTAGCCTTGGTTGGTATAAAAGAAGGTTGAGACTTTATATTTATGATTATTTTTAAGCGATAGATCAGAAAATAAGGCAGGAAAATGACTTTGTTTATTATGTATCTCTCAAGCAACATTGCCAGAATAATTACGTTTTCTTTTTCAGTCTTCCGATCTGGATAATTTTCCAACCATAGGCACTACATGTTTTTGCGGCAAAAAGAAGGCACCGACCGTAATTCCCACAGATCCGCATATTTCCGATGTCTCAGACGACGATTTCAGTGACGGAGAAAATATTTCCCAAACAAATGAGTTTAACGATGAAGAAGAAGTGCCTTCAGGACTTGACATGCTGGTTCCAGAAAGTAATTCTGAATTCGAAGAAAGTGACGATGAAGCTGAGCCGCCACCACCACAAATACGAAAAACTGAATCATATTCTTAGATTGAAGCTGACATAGTTTATGCTAACATACCTTCACCAGACTTTCCTGAACCTGACAACATTGCAGTTCCCATTGAGTATTTTACAAAGTTTTTTTCATTTGATCTAATAGATAAAATAGTCTATCAGACAAATCTTTATAGTACTCAGCAACTTGGGCAATCTATTGATGCAAATCCGTCAGAAATAACGGATTTTCTATCTATACTCTTGATTATGGGTGTAATACAACTTCCTGCCATAGAAGATTTTTGAGCAGCTACAGTATATTCAGATAAGAGATAGACCGGACATAAACAAGACCACGTGATCATCGAACGCTGCAACATTCGGCAGGGACGTATTAAGAGTCACGCAGTACATATTTTAGATAGTAGATGCTGCTTTGCGGAACTTTGTAGTAAATTAGCACAATTCGATGTGTATACGATTGGTGATGCATATAGGATCATGTGGGGGTGGGGTAAGAAATATATAATGATGTAAATATACATAAGGGTTTCAAAATTTTCGCTTCGATTTCCAGCTTCGGATGCCGCCTGATGTTTGGTGAAATACAGTCGAATATAATCTCAAAATGGCGTTTAAATTAGCCTAAATTAAAAATAATCGTATATCTCTTAAAATTGCTTTTAGAATATTGATTAGTATATTTTTTGATTTCTAGGTAAATATGTAACCAAATTAAAACGTTCAAAACGTAAAAAAATGTGCATGGTTGAACATTGTCAGAAAGTAGATTCTTGAATAGATTTTGCCAAAATGGGTTCAAAAATGTCAATAATTAATTAAAAAATACAGTAGCTTTATAATTACTTATAACTTACCGAATTTGATGAACGACATCTTTTATTGGAAAGATGAGCTTGATGAGCTTTCATCATCGCTACTGCCTGAAGCACCAACGTCAATAATGAATGGCTCGACTTGTTCCTCTAAAATATTTTCCAGTTCTCACATTCTCTTTTCAACTTTGTCTTTCACGTGCTTAATACAGTTTTCCCATTTTTGCGCTGTTATTAATTCTAGTGCTTCTTTGAAAAGTCCTTTGAGGTCACAAAATTTAAAAGTTGTATTGTGCTTAGCTATATAATTTTTAGCCTCTGCCCATATGAGCTCAATGGGATTGAGCTCGCAATGGTATGGAGGTAAACGGAGCACAGTTTTATTTTGACTTGCTGCCATTTCGTCAATGGCGTATTTTTGATATTCCGCCTTGTGATCCTTGACAATTCTTAATAATTGTACTTTCAGCATTGCTTCTTCAAAGTTGATATTTTTCGAGCGGAGCCAATTTTGAACATCAACTTTCCTTGAAGCCGTTGTTGGGACCTTCTCCATTCTTCGAGAATGATAAGGCGCATTATCCAACACAATTACTGCGTTTTCCTCTAAGTTCGGTAAAATTTTTGAAAACCACTGTTCAAACGATTCGCCATTCATTTCCTCGTGGTAACCTCCAGTTTTCTTAGACTCAAAGCATCACAGACCGTCAACAACAAATCCATCCTCACTGCCAATATGGCAGATAATGAGCCCTTTCCCTTTACCTGGAAATCGAAGTACTAACTGTTGTAGATTTATTTCAATAAGCGAACCTTTTTCAAATGTTTTCATCACATTCAGCGAAAAAACATTGAGACATGAGTATCAGTTTCCTATAATTGGGATTATTTAGTCATATTCATACTCAGCGCTTCACAATTTAATTTAAAGTTATAAACCTTTAAAAAATGAATGATCAGGAACCTGAAATACGCGCAAATATTAATATTAACAAATTATAACTTTATAAAGCTTAAAGTATGAATTAAAATGATTAGAAATATCAGGAACGGTACACAATATAAAACTTAGAAACCTTTAATATTCGACATATTTTAAGATTATAAGATTAAAAAATTATTGAAATATCGAAAACACATAAAAACATGGCTTAAAAAAGTTCTAACAAATGAAAATGACAATAAAACATCCACGCATTTTATCGAAAGTTATAAAAGTTTTGTTACTTGTAATGTGTTTTATCTGGCCCCTGGAATTAATGTTTAGAACCTTGTTCCCAAGGTTTGAAAAACATCCGATTGTTGTCTATTACTCGTATTTACCTGCTGGATTTTTTAATCCGGTGGACAGTCCATCTAGAAAGGCCCTCCTGGATGAAGTTACAGAATCATCAACCCATACTTTACTTGTAGTGTGCCCTGCGTTTACCCACGTTTCATCAAGGTAATAAATCTTCCTGTTTTGATTTCTATATTTCCCAATTTTTGTTAAATAATCCCTCCTCCATAGCACAATTTCTTCTCTATCCGGTAGTAAACTATTACGACCCCGTTTTTTCCATTTGAAATTTAAATGCTTCAGTAACGCATGGAAAGTTGATCGTTTGAAACTTGGCAACGTTGTATCATCATTTACCTCCTGCAGTACTTTATCTATAGTAGGTATTTCATTCCTAAAGAAGAATTCATGCACTTTCCTCCTAATCGCATGCTTATCAGCTTCATCCAATGATTTAACAATACTTTTGCGATGTTTACCGGTCATTGGCTCAGAAAGGGTGTGATTTTTTTTGTATTGTCTTAACACATTAAACACTGATGCGCGACACACCCCAACTTTGTGAGAAACCTTCACAACAATTTCTTTGATGGTTGATGCCTCGTTCTCCTCGCGCTCGATCTTATATATATTCAAAATGACCTCTTTCATTTCTGCACTCAGGTGTCTTTTTTTAGAGCGTTTCCTAGGTGGACTACAGGAGTTTACAACTTCATCGGCAGTATCTGTACTACTGGGCATTTTGCGCAAGCAGTTGATAACAATAAAAATCAATAACAAGGTATAACAATAACAACGACAAACTCAACAACTTAATAAGATAACAAACGAAAACGTCCAAAGAAATATCAAATTGCAATGATGCACACGACATACGTAACACGTCTGAACCTGAATGTGACTCTGCCTTGATACGACTGCTCTGCCGCTCGGCATAGGCATTTAATTGCGAATTGACCAATGAGGGCTCCTGTTTTACGTCGAGACGGCGGCGTTAGCGTGAAAATCACCCGAACCTTTTGTTTACATCCGGTCTATCTCTTATCTGAATATACTGTAGGCAACATCATCTTTAAACCTTAATTTCTCGTCCTCCCTGCTCTAACGGTCTGATTGGGCAGTGTTGCGCGTAAACTACATTATTCATTAACGGAAATAATATTATGAGCGACCTCTGTTTATAAAAAGTTGAGTCAAAATTTTCGATATGGTTGCCGCGTAACAGGTGTTTGGTGCACGTATGAATCTGTAGTTGGGATTTTAGTTGCAAATGGTAAGTAATCATTTGTTTTTATGTTCTATTAACCTTGGTTGGTATAAAAGAAGGTTGAGACTTTATGTTTATGATTATTTTTAAGCGATAGATCAGAAAATAATGCAGGAAAATTACTTTGTTTAGTATGTATCCCTCAAGCAACATTGCCAGAATAATTACGTTTTCTTTTTCAGTCTTCCGATCTGGATAATTTTCCAACCATAAGCACTACATGTTTTTTTCGGCAAAAAGAAGGCACCGACCGTAATTCCCACAGATCCGCATATTTTCGATGTATCAGACGACGATTTCAGTGACGGAGAAAATATTTCCCAAACAAATGAGCTTAACGACGAAGAAGAAGTGCCTTCAGGACTTGACATGCTGGTTCCAGAAAGTAATTCTGAATTCGAAGAAAGTGACGATGAAACTGAGCCGCCACTACCACATAGACGAAAATCTGCTCTGAAAGACTACAGATTCATTGAACAATTTCAGTATGCGCAGCTGTTACTTTTTCTTTTGATAACGTTATCGTCATTTTTACAAGTTTCTTGACACTGGAAACGCCAGTAGCAATGAAATACCACTTGAAATAGTGATAATTTTTGGTGATAGTAAAACAAATCTTACTAACAGTATAAAGCAGATTTACAACGCCATTTGAATAATTCTTAACCCTATATCTGGTGCTGTAGCCTGTAGGCAACATCATCTTTAAACCTCAATTTCTCGTCCTCCCTGCTCTAACGGTCCGATTGGGCAGTGTTGCGCGTAAGCTACATTATTCATTAACGGAAATAATATTACGAGCGACCTCTGTTTATAAAAAGTTGAGTCAAAATTTTCAATATGGTTGCCGCGTAACAGGTGTTTGGTGCACGTAAGAATCTGTAGTTGGGATTTTAGTTGCAAATGATAAGTAATCATTTGTTTTTATGTTGTATTAACCTTGGTTGGTATAAAAGAAGGTTGAGACTTTATGTTTATGATTATTTTTAAGCGATAGATCAGACAATAAGGCAGGAAAATGACTTTGTTTAGTATGTATCTCTCAAGCAACATTGCCAGAATAATTACGTTTTCTTTTTCAGTCTTCCGATCTGGATAATTTTCCAACCATAAGCACTACATGTTTTTTCGGCAAAAAGAAGGCATCGACCGTAATTCCCATAGATCCGCATATTTCCGATGTCTCAGACGACGATTTCAGTGACGGAGAAAATATTTCCCAAACAAATGAGTTTGACGATGAAGAAGAAGTGCCTTCAGGACTTGACATGCTGGTTCCAGAAAGTAATTCTGAATTCGAAGAAAGTGACGATGAAACTGAGCCAACACCACCACAAAGACGAAAAACTGAATCATATTCTTAGATTGAAGCTGACATAGTTTCTGCTAACATACCTTCACCAGACTTTCCTGAACCTGACAACATTGCAGTTCCCATTGAGTATTTTACAAAGTTTTTTTCATTTGATCTAATAGATAAAATAGTCTATCAGACAAATCTTTATAGTACTCAGCAACTTGGGCAATCTATTGATGCAAATCCGTCAGAAATAACGGATTTTCTATCTATACTCTTGATTATGGGTGTAATACAACTTCCTGCCATAGAAGATTTTTGAGCAGCTACAGTATATTCAGATAAGAGATAGACCGGACATAAACAAGACCACGTGATCATCGAACGCTGTAACATTCGGCAGGGACGTATTAAGAGTCACGCAGTACATATTTTAGATAGTAGATGCTGCTTTGCGTAACTTTGTAGTAAATTAGCACAATTCGATGTGTATACGATTGGTGATGGATATAGGATCATGTGGGGGTGGGGTAAGAAATATATAATGATGTAAATATACATAAGGGTTTCAAAATTTTCGCTTCGATTTCCAGCTTCGGATGCCGCCTGATGTTTGGTGAAATACAGTCGAATATAATCTCAAAATGGCGTTTAAATTAGCCTAAATTAAAAATAATCGTATATCTCTTAAAATTGCTTTTAGAATATTGATTAGTATATTTTTTGATTTCTAGGTAAATATGTAACCAAATTAAAACGTTCAAAACGTAAAAAAATGTGCATGGTTGAACATTGTCAGAAAGTAGATTCTTGAATAGATTTTGCCAAAATGGGTTCAAAAATGTCAATAATTAATTAAAAAATACAGTAGCTTTATAATTACTTATAACTTACCGAATTTGATGAACGACATCTTTTATTGGAAAGATGAGCTTGATGAGCTTTCATCATCGCTACTGCCTGAAGCACCAACGTCAATAATGAATGGCTCGACTTGTTCCTCTAAAATATTTTCCAGTTCTCACATTCTCTTTTCAACTTTGTCTTTCACGTGCTTAATACAGTTTTCCCATTTTTGCGCTGTTATTAATTCTAGTGCTTCTTTGAAAAGTCCTTTGAGGTCACAAAATTTAAAAGTTGTATTGTGCTTAGCTATATAATTTTTAACCTCTGCCCATATGAGCTCAATGGGATTGAGCTCGCAATGGTATGGAGGTAAACGGAGCACAGTTTTATTTTGACTTGCTGCCATTTCGTCAATGGCGTATTTTTGATATTCCGCCTTGTGATCCTTGACAATTCTTAATAATTGTACTTTCAGCATTGCTTCTTCAAAGTTGATATTTTTCGAGCGGAGCCAATTTTGAACATCAACTTTCCTTGAAGCCGTTGTTGGGACCTTCTCCATTCTTCGAGAATGATAAGGCGCATTATCCAACACAATTACTGCGTTTTCCTCTAAGTTCGGTAAAATTTTTGAAAACCACTGTTCAAACGATTCGCCATTCATTTCCTCGTGGTAATCTCCAGTTTTCTTAAACTCAAAGCACCACAGACCGTCAACAACAAATCCATCCTCACTGCCAATATGGCAGATAATGAGCCTTTTCCCTTTACCTGGAAATCGAAGTACTAACTGGTGTAGATTTATTTCAATAAGCGAACCTTTTTCAAATGTTTTCATCACATTCAGCGAAAAAACATTGAGACATGAGTATCAGATTGCTATAATTGGGATTATTTAGTCATATTGAAAGAAAGAATATTGAACGTCGTATGATTACTCAGCGCTACACAATTTAATTTAAAGTTATAAACCTTTAAAAATGAATGATCAGGAACCTGAAATACGCGCAAATATTAATATTAACAAATTATAACTTTATAAAGCTTAAAGTATGAATTAAAATGATTAGAAATATCAGGAACGGTACACAATATAAAACTTAGAAACCTTTAATATTCGACATATTTTAAGATTATATAAAAAAATTATTGAAATATCGAAAACACAGAAAAACATGGTTTAAAAAAGTTCTAACAAATGAAAATGACAATAAAACATCCACGCATTTTATCGAAAGTTATAAAAGTTTTGTTACTTGTAATATGTTTTATCTGCCCCCTGGTATTAATGTTTAGAACCTTGTTCCCAAGGTTTGAAAAACATCCGATTGTTGTCTATTACTCGTATTTACCTGCTGGATTTTTTAATCCGGTGGACAGTCCATCTATTGTTTGGCAAACGGATCTGCAACATCGGGGTATCGGTGACGTTTTGCTTTCTCGCTTGTTTATCGTTAGTCCATATTTGTCCATCCTTTAGTTTCATTTGTCCGCCCTTTGAATTTTGTGGAAACGGAAAAAAGATCGGTCCACCCTGACCTCAAATTTCTAGTGGAATGCCTTCAAAATTGCTGAAAATTATTTATTAGCAATTAAAGCAGTTCTCGATATTTGCTGAACGTTTGAAACACATCATGCATCCATTCAATTAATTAAAGCAACCCTTTGGAGCCTACCAATCATTTTTCAATAGAATTGAATATGGGGCTTACATCACACCTCTGCAAAATTGCCGGAGACACATCAAAGATGTACATCATTGTATTCATTTGTCCACCCTACAGATCATAAACATTTTTTAAAACATACTACTACGGGGCTAACTTCACACCCTTACGTAATCGTTGGAGATGCTGCGTCGTAGACAATCGTCCAGCCCACAGATATGAAAAAACAATCATCCGATTCTCTCGAACATTTCTTAAACTATTATTACGGGAGCCAGCTTCACGGCCAGAATATGTAGGATTATGAATATACAGGGTGTTCCTTCATGATATGGGGGATAGATGGTAGAATAGATACATTATTTAAATCTCGCCTCCTGTAAGAATATTACAAATAAAAGACGTTAATTATATATATTATATGCGAATATTTAAGGGTGTGAATCTACTAATGTTATAGTTTGCTTTATAAACTATGATCCAAAAATGTTTCCTTACAAAAACTCGGGGCGTTGAAGTTTTAGGAAAAGAATGGAAATTACTTAATATTTTCAGACCTGCTTCCGATATTTCACTGATATTTAGTGCATAGTGAAAGTTAATAAGGTTGCATGTTTTTCAATGCAAAAATAATTTTTAGCTTTAACAGTGGCGTGCGTTTTTAAGTAAAAAATAGTACGCCAACGGTTTTTTGCCAAATAAAAATTATTTCTGAGTTTCATGTTTAATTTAAAAGAAATGATCTCTCTTTAATTGTTTTCCTTCAATGCGCCATTTTTGAGTGAAAAAATAAAAACCGTTCTATTGTACTAGAAAATTAATGTAATAATTGAAGAATGCAATTTAGTAATAAATATCTAGTGACATCTTTTTCATTATTTAGTTTTTACAATCTTGTTAATAATGGTGAATTATTCAAATGCAGAAATGGCGGAAATGCATGCCGACGGTAATGGTGAGCAAGCCAGACGGATTTATCATCAGAGATATCCCGATCGTGCTTTGCCAGATAGTATAACCTTTTCTAATATTCATCGTCGAGTTGTTGAAACTGGTTCTGTCCGAAAAGAAACATCTGAAGGTAGAACTCTAAATGCGAGAACACCTGAAACTGAGGAAGCAGTGCTGCACGAAGTCGAAGAACATCCTGAAACGAGTACGAGGAAGATTGCTAGACACTTAAATCATTTCATTTTTACTGCTGATATGTCGGAGTGCTTTGGTGATATAAACAATCATAGACACGCTGACGATACACAGAATCAGGTTTCTTTTGCTAAGTCGGACGCAATTGAAGCAGCTAGGAGGCTAAACGAGTGTTTGGATTCAGTTTTTAAATACTCTTTTAACCATGGCTTGAAATTTAATCCTAATAAATCAGCCATAATCTACTTTGGGCCAGCTAAAGATTGGGCGTCTGTAAACTTGGTGATAGCAATGGATGGTGTGGCAATACCGGTTGTTGAGGAATATAAAAACTTGGGCGATATCTTTGATAACAAGTTTAGATTCCGAATTCATGTGTCTAGGCTTCTACAAAAAGCCTATTTTAATATTCGCAATATTTACAAAAGTAAATATATCCTTAGTATTAAGTTAAAAAAGGTTCTCTGCGAAGCACTGGTCTTGTGTCACCTTAACTATTGCAACTTTGTGTATGGTCCTTGCTTAGATGTATTTACTTAGGATAAACTCCAAAAAGTGCAGAATTCTTGCATACGACTTATTTACCAGCTTAGACGTCACGATCATGTCAGTCATAAACTTTCCGAACTGAAATGGTTGAATGTTTCCAATCGAGAAACGCTGCATTTTGCTTGCTTTCTTCATAAATTGATTAAAACTAAAAGCCCTCCATATCTGATTGAAAAATTAACTCGTAGCAATCTGATTCACTCTCATGCAACACATTGTAATGTACTTTATGAAATACCTAAAATAGCTAACACCATGACTCAAAGCTCATTTTCCTATACATCAGTCAAACTTCTAAACCAATACAATATAGGTCAATTTGAAGATATGTCTCCTAATATGTTAAAACGAAAACTGAAACAACTGCTTCTGTGTATAAGTTGTTTATTATTGCTTATTTTCTTTGTATACGCACATCTGTAGTTATTATTGTTCATTGTTGTTATGTAATATTCTAAAATTAATGTAATGTAAAACTTGTTTCTTGTCTTATTACTTTTCTTTTTGACTTGTTGTTACTTTTTACATGCTGGGTTAAGTTAACAGCATAGCTCGCCTTCGCCGAGTTTAAAATAAAGGGCGTTTTATTTATTTATTTATTTACTTAAATATTTGCCATCAAATTGTTTGGAGAATTT